GCTCAACGCGGGGTTAGGACAGGACCCAGGACTCRCCCTGAGAGGCTCCCCTCCCTCCAGGAGGCCACTGGTCCATGAAGCCAGAGAGCACACACCTCGGGGGCAGAGCTGGGCGGCTATCCCACTGCTCAGTGCAGCGCCAGGGCAGCTGTGGCCCATTTGTGACAAGTGGCTGTGTGAGAAGGGGACTTTTTCTGAAGAACCGGGCAGTAGACCAGACTCGGGTCTGGGCTCAACAGCAGCAGCCTGACCCTCGAGCTCCTCATCCCTTTACTACTGCAGACCAAGGCGGGGACCCAGGAGGGAGGGCCTTCACGTGACCGCTTCTCAGGGGACCCGAGTGGCCTCCGGTGACGGCTGTCTCCTTAATTACCCCCCAAGTCCCCTTAAGGAATGGCTCTAGTCCCTAGTCTCTGCCTCAGTCGGCTCCCTTCCTGTGCCTGCACGGTGCCGGCCAGCTGGCTGCCCTGCCGGAGCCTGTGGGAACAACATCCATGTCCTCAGGTCACCTGGTGGCTGCCCGGTCTTGCAGGCTTGGGAAGGAGGACGGCTGCTGCCCCCGTACCATGGCGCCCTCAGGGCTCAGGTGACATGGGCTGCAGCAGGCTCTCCTCCACCGCCGTCCTACCTCCCAGGGGCATGAGARCCTTCGATGTCCGTCCCATTTGTGGGTCTCACCGGCAGGACCAAGCCTCCCCCCACACGGTCTAACAGAACCTCAGTGAGTTATGAGTGAGTGAAACTTGGAGGTTTCACGTCAGCCTCTGGAGTTCTGGATGTTCCTCAAAACATCAGAAGATTCTGATGCGCTGCAGCCACAGCTGGCGGGACCCGGTGCTGGCTCCTGCGCCCTGCAGAGCGCCAGGCCCTGCCCTCAACRTGGTCCACGTGGGTGGGGCAGGTGGCCTTGCCCCCAAGCTGTGCTTCCTGGCCAGCTCCCACAGGAACACGGCCTTAGTGCTCCGATTAAGAGCCTTCAATTCCTTTACAGTTTGATTTGCCGACTGTTAGCAGTGAGGAGCTTCTTCCWACCCTCTGCGTGGCATGTGTGTGCACCATGGCCCCGACGTCGAGATGCACTGTCCTGGGGAAAGCCCAGCTCAGGCTCCCTCCAGAGTGGGTGAGAGTCCACCTTTGGGTTATGGCTTTTCTGAGCATTGGAACGAGGGCTGCGAAACCCAGCTCCCACCTGTCAGTCACCGCGGGGATCCGGCCTCTGTGCAGGTGTAAGAGACACGCTGCCCAGTGTGCCAGGGCATGGGGGCTCTCTCCCTCACTCGCAAGGTGAACGTGACTCTCTTCTGGGGCTTTGGTGGCAGCCCCCGGGTGCCAGGGACGCAGCTCCATCCGTGTGGGTGGGTCCCAGGTCCTCACAGTCCTCCGCAGAGCTGGTGACCGCTGWTCCCTGCGTTTATGACACCAGGAGACGGCTTGAGTCCTACAGTCTATGAACACTCAGTCTTTTATTTAGCAGGTAGACTGCCCGTGAGGACATGGCCCATTCCCCTGTCAAGCAAACCTAACGGCTTTTGAAATGGGTCCGTCCAGCTTAATGAAAGAGAAAGCCACGTGCAACGGTGTTGAGCCTCCGGGGAGGGAGGCGTGGCCATGCAGGGGAGCCACGTGGGGGGCCTTCCCATGTAAACAGTTTAGACCCCACAACTTTCCCGACCCGTGGCCATGGCAAGGAGGCTGAGATATGGCACTGTAAAACCACTATATTGCTTTGTGAAAGTCACACTCAAGTTGATCAGGAAAAGATGCTGTACCCTGGGTTGGTGGAAGCACTCTTCACTGTTCCGTAACAGAAAGAAGGCGAGGAATGAACCACCCGAAACGGAACGGCGACAAACAGACTGGACCTCAGTGCCGATCCTGGCTGAGGAAGAGGCCACATTTCCGGTTTTGCCAAGAGCYGAGCCGTGGTGTTGGCGAATCCATCTGCTCTGACTGTGCTACAGCGAGGTGTGCTGCTCACGGTCAACGGGCCGCGCCACACTGAACCAGAAAGGTTCAGACCCCACAGGCAGACGGTGGCCTCTGAGCCCCCAAACTGGAGCAAGCTACGCTAATGCACGGTGGTGATTCACACGTTTGTGCAGGGGACGTGCGTGAGTCCAGATGGAGTTTGACGGCGTTTGCCAATACTYGCGCCATCTTCCTGGACGGCTGGCTGACTCTGCAGGGGTCTTTCCCCGTTCCCTTCCCRGGGTCTTTTCAAGGGAGGCTAGTGCGTGAGCTRATCAGCGGGAAGASAGGTGACAGAAGGGGACCTCAGACRGCTCCTTGCTGGACGCAGCCTCTGGAGCAGACCCGGAAAGCTGTGGGCACGGTGCTCCTTGAGTTTCGAGAAGCATCTRCCCCTGCGCCGTCTGAGGAAAGAGAGGAGCCTTCTCCCTTCTCAGAGGATGTTCACTGGAAGAAGGTGCAGGGAGCACTGGCCTCATGGTAAACGCCACACGTTCAGAGAACTCGGGACGGGACAGCGCGCGCAGCATTTTCAGATAGAATCTCCTCATCTGATTCCAGGAACAACAGAAAACCTCCCGTAAACATCTAGATTCAAGATACGGCCAAGCAGATCCTGGGCTCACCTACCATCAGTCCCCGTGAATTCCCTTGCACGCTGCATGTGCTCCCATGAGCCGGGYGGCCCCCTCACCCTGGACCCCAGGGGCCTCCCCTCCACCCTCCTGCTCACCCCGTTCTTGGAGAGACWACTCCTCTTGGTGTACGAGATGCTCTGTCGCTTCCCCAGCAAATAGTTCTGTTGAAACTATATTTTCCAGACATATTTGATCGTAGAAGTCTTTTGCCTTCGCGTTTTGAGATGCACTGTTTGAGGAGAGCCTTTGGGTTCACGATTTCCATGTTCAGATGAAAGGTGATTTCTAACATGATACTTGGACTGCGGATCTGGACTGCAGAGTCAGGAAATCCCGGTTGGCTTCTGTGAAGTTCAGGCTGCTGTTTGGATCCAGAACATTCCCCCAGAGGCTCAGGTGTGGAAGGCCGGTCCCCGGCTGGTGGTACTTTGGTAGGAAACTGCAGGAGGGGGGCCCGGTGGGAGGACATGGGTTACTGGGGCAGCCCAGGAAGGCAGTGTTGGGACTCCAGCTCCTTCCTCTCTCTCTGATTCCAGACCTCCAGGAGGTGGGCACCTCTGCCCCACCATGTGCTMCCTGCCCAAATGCTGTGCCTACCAAAGGCCCAGAAGCCATGGAGCCCAGAGACCTCAGACTGAAGCCTCTGAGGCCCTGAGCCAGAACCAACCTTTCCTCCTTTTAAGCTGTTTTTCTCATCATCTTTGTCACAGCAACAGAAAGCTGACCGACACAGACACCTTCTATAAATACTCGTGGAAGTCTGAGAGACCTAGGTTTTGCCATCGGGATTCTGGCTCCATCTCTGGGTGCCTTAATAGGCTTCAAGATGCAGGCTCCATTTTCTTGGCTGGAGTGTTGGCACCTTCTATTTAGGCTATTTTGTTAAAGATGAAGTCTCCTCTCAATTAAATTTTTTTTTTTTTTAGTTGTAGATGGACACAATGACTTTATTTACTTATTTTTATGTGGTGCTGAGGATTGAACCCAGGGCCTCGAATGTCCTAGGCAAGTGCTGTACCACTGAGCTACAACCCCAGCCCTCCTSTCAAGTTTGCCTGGGGTTTCCTCCTAACTAGTCAGACCCTGGGACCTGCTGCACTGGTGCTCTCCTAAGAGGCCCTACCAACACAGGCCAGGGAGGAGGTTTGGGGGAGACGGACAGATACACTTGCGAGAGGCTCCTGTGAGACTCCCTCTCCCGAGCATCAGCTGACCAAGTCTCCAAAAGGCGTGGACAGTACTCCCTTTCGGGGGGGTGAGTCCCTGTGTACCACCCAGTGGCCCCTGTGGAAGTCCCCAGTGATCTGACATCCCATCTCCCTGGGTGAGGAGATCCGAGGCGTGACGGAAGGCGTGAGGGAAGGACAGACAGGAGTTCTGTGTGGCGCGCGCCTGAGCAGGGCGCCCCTGGGCCTGGTTAAGGCTCATTCGGTGACAACAAACAGCAGAGAGCACAGCAGGTGTAGAAACAAGTTCTCTACCACTTTAATTGGGCTGCCCAGCACTGGTCACACAGGTCACTCAGGGGCCCAGCTGCTCGCACGCAGCCCTCCCACCTCGCCTGCAGAGGAGGTCTGCACACTCCAGGGAAAAGCCACCCGGACACAGCGCCCAGTGCAGCCTGCCGCCACGGCCCCGGTGGTCCGCGATGCCGGACGGCGGGTGGGACCATAGGGCGCTCCTGCAGGCTGGACAGCGACAGGGAGCCCCCGGACGCTGTAGTACGGGACCCGTGAGTCCAGGGCTCTACGTCCTGCCCGCACTCTGCCAGTTTTAACAGCAGGTGGAGCAGCTCCCGCGAGAGTCCTCCGTTTCCCGTCAGTGGAAAAGCTAGCAGCTCTGGAAGCGGTCTCCTGGAGAGGTTAGAATGGTTATCATACGTCGGCTGGATATCAATAGGTTATGGACGCCAAGCTTGCATGCTAAGATTGCACAGGGCGGAGGGCAAGAGGACAGGGCACTGCGCGGCCTCGGCCGTCCGGCAGAAGCGGGAGGGGGCCTCCAACTCAGGGCGGCCTCGAGCCTCGGACTCCCGGAGTCCACCTGCAGCCGCCTCCCAGGGTCACTGCTACGCTGGATCCTCGAAAAGGGCACGTCTTCCTCACCAGTGGAAGAAAGAAACGACAGACCACACAGAATCGACAGACCTGGGGGACTCAAAGGGCCGTCTCACACGGGGTACTGCTCCTTTCTCCAAGAGAATATAGAATATTTCAAAATATCATATATCTATGTACACCTATATTTCAAATGGTACAAAGTCACTGCAGATCCAAGCCAGGAGAGAGGCGGCCATTCTTCCTGATCCGGAAACGCTGGGCGGAGGAGGCCTTTCCAAAGCGCTCTCCACCGCGCTGCCAGGGCACAGTCCCCTGGCGAGGGACGCTCCACCGCGCACCGCCCCTCTCTGCCCGCCAGAGTGCGCGGAGGAGCTCCATTTGGCTCGTGAGTGTGTAAGACGTGTCGAYTCTCAGATGCGTGTTCCCCAGCTCCGTTTCCCGTCTCGACCACGAAGGCTTCTGTTAGGTTCTTGGGTGAATCTGAAACCAGAGAGAGAAGACGTTTCAGGGAGGAAGGTACAACCCGAGGGCAGGGATGGAACCAGCGGAAAACCAGGACCCTGGGCCTCTTGGGCACCGTGCCTCAGGTGGCCCGAGGCCACACATCCTAACTCGGGAGAGCGGGGTCCTGGGGTGAGCACAGCCGGGGACAGGCCCTGTGTCCCCTCTACGCATGAAACTCACTTTTCGTCACAGCCGAGGAGAGATGCAYGGCTCAGTCTACCCGGGTCGGCCTTCGCAGGGGGAAGGCCATCTTGCTGCCCGGGRCCCTGTCCTGCTCTTGCTGTCTTGGATTCATGAGTCATTTCTGAGCAAGGGCCGGCATTTTCATTTTGTCCTGGGAGCAGTCTGCACTTGTCTGATGACAATCTGAACTGGTCACCTGGCCTACTGCTGTCCCTGAGGGGTGGCAGGAGGGAACGTCACTGCTYCGTGGGAACAGAGGGGACCCCTGTAAGGCTAGGAACTGTCCCTCAGTGGCACAGTGAAAGGGCCACAGTGAGAGCAGACTCCTGTCCCTGCAAATGTCACCGAGCTACCCCAGTAGGGATCCAACGGCTCAAYGGTGCAGACGCCCTCGTGCCCTGGGGACCCCTGGCTGGGCACACRCATGCCGACCCTAACTGGGCTGAGGCCTCTTCTCCCTGGTTCTAGGCTCATCATTCTTAATTCTCCTTTTTTATGATATTCATGTTTTAGCTGTCGTTGTCAATACTTCATTTTATTTATTTATCTTTATGTGGTGCTGAGGATGGCACCCAGGGCCTCTCACGCGCTAGGCAAGCGCTCCACCTCTGAGCCACACCCCAGCCCCCATCCTTAATTCTTAACAGTGTCAGGCGCTGTTCTGGGTCCAGGAGTGGACGTCCACTGAAAGCCTTGAGGGTCAGGAGCAGCAGGAGCCTGCGTGGGAAAGTGGCTGGCCAGGAGCAGAAGGCAGGGGGATGTCCACACATCCGTCTTCTCAGCTTCTCCTTATCAATAGCGGGTCCTCCACGGTGGCCTCCTATTCTCCTGCCATCTCTACCACCTTGGCTGAACACTGTCTTCTCCTTATCCAAAGGAGAGAGGAGATGCCATTTCCAAAGCTGAGCTGAAATTGCCTCTTTTCTCCCTGACCCAGGCTCCCTGCCCCGCCTGCGGTCACACCCCAGCACACCCCTGAGACGTCCATGCACGGAGTTCAGGGAGCAGACCTTCAGTGGGTTTACCGACTATCGAGGGACGACTTCACTCACACCCGGGAAAGACTGCGGCACCATAAACGGCTTTATCCTCTGAATCTTTCAGTGTTTTCCGTGTCTTTTAACATCTCTCCCTTGTCCTTCAATACCTGGTCCTTCTTGATCACCACTGATAGGATCCCTTTAAAGACCTGCCTCTCTTTCTAAAGGCCTTCCATGCAAAGTGGGCTGGAGGTCGGGATGAGGGGTCGCGGGCTCTCGGGTCACCCTTGACCTGGTAGAAGAACCGGAGAGAAGATCTGCACCTGTCAAAGCTGGTCTTTGCCCTTTCAGTCAGACAGACCCACACTGTGTGGTCAGAGGTGGGGAGGCCAGAGAGAGTGGACAGAGCAACAAGTTGGGTTGGACAGACACACACTGTGTGGTCAGAGGTTTGTGAGCTCACACTCCCCTTTGAGGGAGGCCAGAGAGAGAGTGGACAGAGCAACTTGTTGGGTTGGACAGACAGGGTCACAGGAGACAGGACAGCCCTGTGGTCAGCGGGCACTGAGCTTGCAGTGCCCCTGTCCGTCACGCTGTGCACTACGTGAGTCACGCTGTGCACTAGCTGCCCGCTTTCTCCCGGGTCTGAGAGACAGTCACAGACCAGACCGACCCTCCCCGGGTGTCACACGGGATTGAGTTCTGCTGCTTTAAGGGGCCGAGTTTCTTTGCAAGTGACTTTGGTCTTCTCCTCGCTTCAGCCCCTTCCTCTTCCTGTCTTCTCTCCTCTGAGGAGGCCTGTCTTTACCGCCAGCCCTTGTCCCCCAGGCACGAGGCCCAGGCACCCTCCTGAGCACACGGGAAGTGGCCCGCCCGGCTGTTCTTCCGCTCCACTTGTTTGTCAGGTCATTCTAAAGAGAAGAGAGGGCAGTGGGTGTCTAGGCCCACGGGAAAACATCTCCCGTCCATGTCAGGCCCGTCTTTCTCCCGTCTGGCTGCTGCGTACCACAGCGCAGYGTGATGAGGCCACCCAAGCAGGGACTGGACAGGGCTGAGCAGGAACAGGGCTGCCATCGGGCGGGACACTTCGCCCGAGTGCCCGCTCCTGCCCAGCCTGCGGGCTGCCCGCTCTGTTCCCTGCAGACGGTCTTGGGAAGGTCAGCGAACGCCGGCTCCTTTCTGTGCACCGCGTGGAGGGCCTCCTCTCTTCCTGGGACGTGACGCTTGGCCTACGTCCCCCTCCACAGCCCCTGTCCCTCCCTGTGCTCTACTGCCACCCAGATCCAAAGTCCCAATGGCTTTCCCTGAGACTGCGGCCTGTCACCTGGGCCAGTCCCTGCTCCGGGGCAGCTGATGGCTCAGGCGAAACACTGAGTCTTTACTCTCCTCCTGCATAAAGACCAGAGCATGAAAATTGGGCCATCTTTGGCTTCTCCCATTTCCAAGGCTTCTGAGAGTCTGTGTTGGGTGGTTATGTGGGAAGTGAGCTACCAAGTAGGAAGGTTGGAAAGTCTCTCGCTGTCAGGGAGGAGGACGGAGTCCTAGGCAGCTTTCAGGCAATGTCCCTACACGGGAGGGACTTTTAACAACACCATCCTGCAAGAGAACTCTGCCACCATTTGAATGACCTGGGGGTCCTCCTCAACACTGTCTTTCCTGTTCTTTGTCCCCCCTTGAACCTGCTTTCGGCATCAACCTTACGTGTAGGAGCAGAAGAGCTGGTTTCCCTTCCATCGTCAGAGTAATAAAAATAGGTGTGAATTAGACTGTTTTAATGGGAAATTGCTAAAGGGCCCACTTGAGATGTGTGGGCTCACGTGTGTCCCGGTGCAGGCCCATATGTGGGCTCTCCTGTGTCCTGGTGCAGGCCCATGTGTGTTCTCACATGCGTCCCGGTGCAGGCCCACATGTGGGCTCACGTGTGTTCTGGTGCAGGCCCACGTGTGTTCTGGTGGGAAGACACGCAGTGGTCCAGAGAAGTCAATGTCAACCTGCTCTCCCTGCACGTCAGGCCTTGGTCGACCTGGGCACGCGCAGAATCCCTGGCTCTCACGTGTAATATGCAGACTCAGTCGGTGCCTCAGTGGTTACAACGCTGAACTTCATCTTGAACCTCTTGGGAAGGTCGGGGGAAAATGGCCCTAGCGCTGGAGATCCCTCGGGGTAAAGAGGCACGTCTGTCCCAGGGTCCCCTTTTCCTGTGGACTTGAGGACTCTCGCTGGATGGCCGTCGCTCACGGGGCTGCAGAGTGGTCTCTGATTGCTCTACGTGGAATGGGGGCGTGCATCAGGACAGGCACATCTGCTCGGTGCAGACCCCAGGACCCGACGGAGTTCCCGCACACCCTGGGTGGCACGAGGCCCACCTAGGGTGGTAGGAGCGGGGGCTGCATCCTCCGCCCTGGGATCAGACTCTGCACAGCACCCCTGGGGTGCTGGGAACCGTCCAGGTGCCTTTGTGACACCCCAATGGTTTTAAGATCCACTCTCCAGAGGCCAAGTGAAAGGAAGTCACGCTGTCTCAACAAACACACAAACAGACAGATAAAAGCAGCAGGAACGCTTTCTGGATTTTTTTCCCATTTTTTGGTTTGCTCCTGTTTGTCCCTGAGTTTCTCCTCTATCTTCCAGAGGGTCTCCTGCTGGGTCTCCCCAGTAAATCCTGAAATGACCTGAGGGCCTTGCTTGTCTTCAGGGCGATGGTGTCTGGAGACTCCGTGAGAGCGTGACTTACCTTGGATATGGCGACCGGTTATCAACTGGAATGGAAAATAGAGATTTTGCGGAAAACACGCCAGGAACCTGTTTAYAACAAGGGAATGGGATCCCAGGAATAAGGCCAGGATTCTGTGCATCTGGAAACCAACTGATTTGTGAGGAATCTGCAAGCTATTTGGTAAAATCTTCTCCAGGCAAAACACAATCAAAAGGAAACCAGGCTCCCAGCAGCTCATCCAGAGTGGGATCTGCAGGGGGCAGGCACAGCCAGGCTGGGTTCCCGATGATCTTCTGCAGGTGTTCCAGCAAAACCAGACACGCCAGTCCTCCTGGGCCATGCAGGTGCAGCCAGATGCACCTTAGCACGCTGGGAGGCTCAGAAATCCCACCAGCCACAGGCAGGGAGAGGTGGCCGCTTACTGGGCCKCGTGGCCAGTGCCGGCATTATCTCATATGTGAAGGAATGAGCTTTTATAGAGCACTGCGTGCCATTATTTTTGTATTCTGCATCACAAAGCTGCACAAACCAATTTGATTTATTGAACAGATGATACCAAGTGGTTCATGGAGATTAATGATACAGGGGTTGGAATCAGGGATGTTCCTTTAAATTTCACTCAGCTTTTTGGCAAACTAAAAGTTCAACATACTGTGATTTAAAGCTGGTGGAGATTGCTTTAAAAAATGCCCCAACAAATTAAAATATGCACACACACCCTGCATATCGGGGCACGTGTACATGTGCCCTCCTGGTTGTTAGAGTATCGAGTGCTTTTGGTGATGAAGAGTTACTGTTCCAAGTGTCCCATGCTCCTCCCACCCCACTCCTTTAGGATTCCAGATGGCCAGTCCCTATGGTAAGCTAGCCTAACGGGGCCTCTCCCCTCTTGCCCAGCATCTCGGCACCAATTCTTGCGGGTTGAATAGCCTTGCCCTCCAGTGGTTGTATATTTTGAAGATCACTCCTGACTTAGCCAGGAAAATCAAGGAAGATCATTCACTTTGCAAAAACCTTTTTAACTTTTCTAAAAGATCATCAAAGAATTGCTTTAAAGAACCTTTAAGAAATGACTACACTCGAAGGCAGACCTTTGCAGCCGACCGTCTGGATAGAAGGGGAGAGGCACCTACTTGATTAACATTCTGAGCACCACAGACGTTGAATGGATGAGCGAGCACTTAACTCTCTGCTCCTCTTCCCTCTGGCTAGGGCCGCCTGGCTTTGCTTAGGAGCCCGTAACAGGAACACGGGACAGCTCAGTGTGGACAGGCCAGGCTCCGGCTCCGGCTCCTGGATCCTGGCCGAGTGTGTTCTCTCTTTGGAAAACCCATCCTTCACTCCCAAAGCTTCTCTGGGTGCTGTCTGCACAACACCCAGGCAGAGTGCAGACGTCACACGCAGGGGACGTCACAAGCAGGGGAGGTCACAGGGAGGGGACATGGAGATGCGAGCACTCACCCTTGTGGTCTTGATCTTGTTGCCTGTGGCGCACATCCATCCCGAGTTGTCGGGGAGTGTCTTGCACTCCTCTCCCTCCAGGCAGGGCTCCATCTCACACCACCACTTCCCGATCACGATGGAGGCTGCACAAGAACAGGAAACCAGCGTTGGCAACCCACCGAGCAGCTGGCACAGACGCTGCGTGCCCCGTGGGCTTCAGAGCTCCCTGAAGCACAAGGTCCACMTTCATCCCCCTTGACCAGCTGAGAAACTTCGTCAGGGAAAAACGAGATCTTAAGGTCTAAGTCTCAGAATGCAAACAGGATTTCCTTGTCTGGTGTCACCACGTGGTGGCTTGGCCCGCGTCTCCCTGTAGGCTGAACGCCTGGGGAAAGGGCAGGCTCACCCGTGGGGCCGCCAGGGGCATGGGTGTCTCTACCTGTGCGGATCGGGGACCTGGTGCCATTCCTTTCCGTGAGGGAGGTGAACAAGTAAGTGTCCCTGGGAATGGTCACCGTCCTTTCAGCATCGGGCTCTTCCCTTAGCCCAGGGCCTTGGAGAATTTCCAAGGTCCAGCAAGAATAAAAAAATGAACTCAGAATGCAAACGCAGAGTTGCAAAGTAGAGGTCAAGGGTAAGAGCTGGGTACGGTGGGGCAAGACGGAGGATCTACAACCYGGGAGGCGGGGCAGCAGGGTCCCAAGTCCATGCCCGTCGCGGTAACRTAGCGAGACCCCGACTCACAATAAAAACATGTAAAGGCCTGGGGATGTGGGTCAGTGGTGAAGCACCCACGGGTTCCATCCCCAGCGCAAAACCCAAACAGAACTCGACGGTGATGATGACTCAGAGTCCCCCTTTACAGCCAGAAGGACAGTTGCCACGGGTGGTGGGTGCCGCGGTCTGACACGGCGTGGGGGGGCGATGAGGACTGAGCCCCTGATAGAACAGCCCCGCTTCTCGGGGTGACTTCAAGGATGGACATTAGGAAGCGGGCAGTGAGGTCTGTGAACTTATTCACATGCACGTTCTGTGATAATGAGTCTCTGACCCAGGGACTGCACCCACACTTTACATTCAAGACGCTCACACCCTCCTTAACACACTGAAACAAAAACCACTTCTTCACGGTCACCGGTCATTTCCGTGGCTCCTCAAGGGGGTAGCTCCTCCGGACCCGCCTGGCTTCCCCTTGGCCACCCCCCGGTGGCCGCCGGCATTGTTCTGCGGCACTTTCCTGCTGGTTTCACTCTGGGCCAGGGCCCCGGTTCCTGATGCTCACCCMCCTCCCTCTTCCCCAAGATGAGCGTCTGCCATGATGTCGGAATCTCAAAGCCACGAAGAAGAAGCAGAATGAATGAGTGTCACGAGGACCCATAGTGGAGTGAGAGAGGTGGACACCAYAGGGAAGTGGCCACCGGCCTGCACCTGCGAAGGGACGGGACTGCTAACCCAGAGCAGAGCAGCAGCGACGTCATCCGTACCAGGATTTCCCTTGCACCCATCTCCCACCCCMGGGAACTCAGAGCTCTGAGCACTCTTGCTGTGCAGGATCAGGCAGGCGGGCCGTGTCTGCTGTACTGAAGCAGTGGTTTAGGGTTTTCAGGGTACCTCTGCCCTATTGGCTGTTCATTGCACACAGACCGAGGTGTGCAATGCAGCTTCAGGCAGGTGGCACCCAACATGGGGGGTGAAGCCTCCTGCAGCTCTGCAGACCCAAGACCACAGGATGCCCGGTGCACACGGACAGGAGCAGCAGCAGACACACCCTCTTCTTCTTCTTCTTCTTCTTCTTCTTTTTATTTAGTCTCGTAGCAGGCCCTGTCCCTGGGCATGGAGCAGGGGACGGATATGGCCAGGAAAGGACTTGGGCAGTGGATAGGTGGCCGGGTGAAACAGGAGAGGCACATGTTTTTTGGCAGAAAGAGAAACATGTATGGCTGAAAGGGAACGTGACTTCTGTGGGCAGGAGGTGGACGTCAGGCCCTGGCAGGGTGCTGAGAACCTACAAGCCGTGGCTCCTGCCSGCGGGAGCTCAATGAGAGACAGCCTGGCTGCATTTACTACCGACCCTGGAGCCTCTCCCTTCAGCCTCCTGACATCTCCACCCTGAGGCCTGGGCAGAGCAGGAGTGGACCCCCTGCTGCGGCTCTGAGGGGGCCGGTGATAGGGCAGGTTCTCACTCGGTTGCTCTCTTTCTCTCCCAGGGAGGCAGGCCGAGGAGCAGCCCCTGCCAGAGGGTGGCCTGCGCCTCCCGCTTCTGACGGGCTCTGCCCCCTCCTTCGGGCCCTCTCCTTCCTCTTGGAGCTGACCTACTTTGTTGCAAGCTCACAGAGCAGTTTCCCCATCTCCCAGGCATTAATATCCCCCAAATGAAAACGCAGACAGGAGGGGAGAGACATCTCCAAACCCACGTGCCAACTTTAATTGGGTTGTAAAGGTCCGCGGGCCCTGGGGGGGGCGGGCTAGCTGAGAACAAGCTCCAGTCCTGCTTACAGCATCTAAACACTCACATCGCAGCGGCCTCTTCCATGGTTTGATGACAGGGCACACTCGGGCTTATTAGGATCATTTCGTTCCTGCACTGTGGCTGCCCTAAATGTGCCACTCCATCAACACTGTTGCTGTTTATGCCTTAACTGATCCTGTTACCCTGTGTCTCTCCGGGTCCAGGTCAAGGCAGCCTCCAAGCCCAGTTTTCCCATAAACCCATCTGTACCGCAAGACTTTTTAAAAGAGAGAGAATCTCAAAGGTTCTTCTTCTCTCCAACTGGAAGCTACCTAAAATCTTCAGATTTTTGGAAGAGGAATGATCTGTTAGATCTAATAAAACGAGCCAATGTATCAATGTTATTTAACTGTTTCTATGATGTTTTTCTTACGGAGATGCTCATAAAAATAAAAATGTAGATAATTATTAAATATCCTCCATCATAATAKTCAATGCGTTAAGGAAACGGTAACCGGACCTGGCTGCCTCTTGCTGACCCAGAGCCAGATACTCCCAGGGCACCTCTCCTGCACAGCATCCCTGCCCCTGTGAGGTGGTGGCTGCTAAGTGCCCACTCGCAGGTGTGGACACTGATCCACAGCAGGTGACCCTTCCTAAGCTCACCCAGGTGGGAAGCACAGGATCCACACTAAAATCCGGGGCCCTCACCCACAAAACCCGCATTGCTCATCACCCCGGCTCTGTGCGCGGTCTTCAGAGAACTTAAAGAAGATCATCGACTGTGGAATGAATGGATTCTCTGTGCCGTGTGAGTGTCGAAAACACATTTCATGCCAAACATAAACACGTGCCTAATACAAAAACATTTGGTTCCTTGTGAAATCGACTTTAAGAACGTGGAGGCAAGAGTCAGACCACCACACTTGCTTTCTTCTTGGGCGGAGCGGCACGTTGCTTCTTTCCATTTGTCACAGCGTTTTCACAGGGATTGCCACAGTGAAGTTTGGGAAGCCGTGGGAAGCCGTGGAGTGGACCCACGACTGCTGCGAGGGCTTTTTATGCTCTAGAAGAACTGAGTTAACTGAATGCCAGCTATAGATCGGACTCTCCCTTGTCTGCAGCGACAGGGGAGGAGGATCCGTCGGCTCCTTCCTCTCCTGGGAGGGACCATGGGCAGGAAACGGCGGATGWTCCACTCCTGCAAGAAAAGATCATCTTCCCTTGAGAGAGCCACAGAATCTCTAAAGCCCCCTTGATCATTGGATTTCTCCCTTACGCCTGGTCACGCTGCTATATAGAAAACACAAGAGGCTGGGCGGTAACAGGAGAATCACCCCACCTCTCTGTGCACATCTGAAGCACAGCAGAAGTCYTTTTATTTCTTTTGTTACTGCTCTGTTCTCCCATGAGGCATTGTCCATGGTAATACAGACAGATACCAAGCAGCCATGGGCCTGACAGAGCCAGCATCTGCAGGCTGCAGGCCCGGGAGCTGCAGGCCCTTCCCACCACTTCAACACTACCTGACTCTGAGGTCAGCAAATGCACCCCCTGATCCAGTAGAGTGGACGCAAGAGCAGGGCACCGTCCCGCGGCCCCCAAGTGTCTCCCCAGGGAACACACCAGTGGGCGGGAGGAGCAGGCTCCCAGGAGAGGAGGGGAGCAGAGCCCCCGTGAGACCACAGCGTTCCCRAGAGCCAGGAGCTTGGCTTTCTTGGTTCTGAGGGAATGTGGCCACCRGAGATTCAGGACCCAGGTTCTGTGAGCAAAAGGAAGGCAGGGCCGAAGGGGGCTGGTGAAGACRTGTTTGGCAGTGGTGTGCAGGACGGCCGCAGGGAGGGGCCGGCAGGGGGAGGAGCAGTGCAGGGCTTCGGCCTTCCCAGGAGGAGGGCCAAGGCCTTGATTTGCACTGGGACTGCGGAGGACAGAGGGGAAGCCCATGCAAGAACACCAGAGGGCACGCTGCTGCGGGCAGCCTCCCACCATGCTGACCCCGTGCCCACCGGTGCCACGCGGGCGCTCCTGGCAGGCAGGTACCACACTACTTCTGACAGGCACGGACAGCCTGCGACAGACAGGTCGTTTATGAATGAAGGATGAAGAAAGGAAACAGAAAGAGGAACCGGGGGGTGGAGGGTGTCCTGGAAAGTGCTCTCAAGGCCCAAGGGGGGCTGCGGCACTGGGAAACTAAGCATCAGCTCCCACCGTCCCCGGGGGCCTCTCCCTGCTGAGGCTGCACAGAGCACACTGCCTCCACACAGACAGGCGGTTCTTCACAGTGCTGGACAGCAAGGTTGTCCTTCAAGGTCACGCCCAACTCCTGGCCGGCTGCCATGGCTTGGGGAGCCCCAGTCAAGTGGTGGAACACGACTGTGTTGGCATCCCCAGGAGCCAGAGGGTTGCACATCAATCAGGACAGACCTCCAGCCTCATTCTTCTTCATTTATGACCTGATCCAGAAGGGAGGCACCGGGCATCTGCCAAGCCCTTTGGCCCTGCGTGGGGGACAGGAGGCCTGGGAAACTGCTAGGCCCCTGGTGGAGGCACTGGCCTTGACTCCGGGTCCCTGCCCTTCCAGGGAGGATGGCTTTGGAAAGCTGCTTAGCTCAAGGCTGGGTTCCTCGATTACACAGGAAGTTACAACATGACAGCGGTCATGATGGATTTTAGAGGAAATAAGGATTTAGCACG